GAGAGGCTGCTGACAGGCTGATTGGAGCTATCTGCTGTGCGCTGTGTGCTGTGGACGCAGGGCAGGGCAGGGCAGCAGAGGCACAGGGTGACACTGGGGCCATAAAATCTGGGACTCATAAAAGATTCGTCTGGCTGCGTTGATGACAGAAAGGAAAACACGCTTTATCACTCGCAGAAAGAAAGACAGATATCAGGAATCTCTGAAAGTGTACCACCCAGAACAGCAGCTTGAGTTTGTTGGTACTTAAGCAAATAGTCTATACAAGGTAATGTTCTGAATTTACTTTTACTTAATTCATTTCTACATGAGAAAAATATATATTACATCCACACAGTTATTGACAAATACACAGAAAGACAAATTGTCTTGATGCTATGTATTTTATTTATTTGGAAATGATTTACACATTAAAATAAATTCTAGGCATCAATTTTTTCAGTGTCAGACTTATTTTATGCTTTATTTTTCTTTTTTTGTGCTTTACAGTATGTTTTTTATAGACATTAAATTAATTAATTGATTGATTGATTATAGAGTTTACCAGCAAAGGCAAGATATATATACAAAATGCAGTACTGTGCAAAAGACCAATATTTGTGCATTAAAATTCCAGTCAAAATGACCATAAAGTCCAAGTTATTCATTTTTATCAGATATTTCTGAGGAGATTAGTTAGAACATAATCCACTTGCATAAGGATTGAGAAAGTCCAAGGAAAATAATAAAAAAACAGGAGTTTCCAAAACTGCAGTTCCAAAAGTGATTAAAAGCTACAGAGAAAATGGGACTCTAAGACCTGGTAGACACCAAAACTGTCCCCATCAGATAAACAGCATTTAAAAGCTTTCATCTTTGAGAGAGAGGAGAAAATCAAGCTGCTTCAGATCTGAAAACATCCACAGGTGTTTCTGTCCATCCTTCCACTGTGAGAAGACAACTCAGCACTATGGGTCTGAAAGGATGTGTAGCTGTCAAGAAGTCCTCACTGAGAAAAGAGACAGACACATGAAACAAAGAAGCTGAACAATGGACTGACCACCCCAGAGTCCAGACCTCAACATCACTGTGATTGAGATTACTTGAATGGTGAGAAGCAGAAAATGCAACCAACGTCTAAGACTGAACTTTGAAAGTGTGGAAAAATGTCCCTGCAGATTTCACCGTGTATTCCAGGTGGTTGCTAGGATGTTGCAAGGCTGTTGCTATGGTATACAACATGAATGCTAGGACGTTGCAAGTGTACATGTATTATGGTGACATAAGAGGAGTGCAAACTTTTGGTGCTCATTCATTCTTATGAGAAAAAAATTGTGATTTAATGATCATTGTTTGAAAAGCTGTGTACAAGCACAGCATTCCTGATCAGACCAAATGTTCCGACAGTGTTTGTGATTTCTTGGATCATTACAACCAAATTATAAGGTGTGAAAAAATATCCCTGCAGATTTTTTGAGAAAGCTGTAAAAAAGGCAAATAGTGGATACACAATATATTTGAAAAATAGATATTTAGGTATACATATCTAATTGTATTTTGTGTCATTTTCTCTTAAATATGTTTTCTCAAAAACTAATAACAGGTATTTAGTAATCATTTTGTCAGGAAAATTAAATAAATTAAGCGCAGTCTTTGACTTTTATGCAGTACTGTACATATGGTTAGTTTTGTTGTTATCCAGTACTGCCGTTTGTGTGCTAAAATTGTCCTGGTACTTGGGAATAAATCCTGATTGGAGCTTTTAGTGTTTTTTCAGTAAGAAAAAAAAAGTTATCTACGGTCCTAGAATGCTCCGCAATGTTTATGTACTTTCTCAGAAAAAAAATAGACAACCAAACAACTCTATACACAACCAAGCTGTAGGAATTAATGTGAGAAAGGTCAAAAGCTGGCCTGGCTCTCAACAGCGGCTGGGCATTTCCATGGTTTTATATCATGTTAGTTCAATTGGGCATACAGCAAACACAAACAATGTGAAGAATAAGGTAGTGAGCGGTGGCAGCGGTGGCTGGGAGCTGCTTGGCTAGCGGTCAGCTCCCAGCGGCAGTGGCTCTGCAGCCCCCCCACCGGCCCCCAACCGGCCCTCCTTGTGTTCCTGGCGGTCTCTCACATGGTGATTGGGTTTCAGCACAGTGCTCAGAGCTGTGGGAAACAGCCATCACACTGGCAGGCTGCCTGAGAGACTGCGCTACGCTCCAGCAGGGCGAGGCGCATGACAGGGTGGCGTGCCGGAGGGGCTGTGCACCTAAACAATGTGCCGTCTTCACTGTTTAACTCAGAAAAACCACTTACTGGAACTTAGTGGAGTTCTCAATTTAAAGAGGAGGTCCTATGTTTGACCATACTGACACAGTGAAAGCAGCAAATAGACTCAATCACATAAGCTGTGTCCTCAAAATAATTTATTAATCACTTGTTACTATATACACTGTGCACAATTCAAAGACCACACTCTGTTTATTTCATTTCCAGTCAAAATAACTTTATAGTAACTTTAAGTACTTTAAGTAACTTTATGAACAAGTTATTCATTTCTCAGTGTCAAAAAAACAGAAAATATATATTTAACAGAAAATTACACAGAAACCTCAACAACTACACATTTTTCAGTATTTAGTGTGCCTACTCTTTACCTTTATTACAGCTTTTTCCAAGGAAAAATGCAGGGATACTTTTCCACACCTCCAAATCTCAGTCTTAGCTGTGGGTTTTAACATTGTCTGCTTCTCACCATCCAAACACATTCATTGATGTTAAAGTCTGGACTCTGTGGTGGTCAGTCCATTGTTCTGAGAACACCAGCAGCTTCTTTGTTTGATGTGTCTGTCTCTTTTTCTCAGTGAGGCTTCTTGACAGCTACACATTCTTTCAGACCCATATCGCTGAGTTGTCTTCTCACTGTGGAAGGATGGACAGAAACACCTGTGGATCTGAAGCAGCTTGAGGTTGTTAAGGTTGTTAACTCATTTTCTTTTCACTTCTTTTGACTTTTACTTCCGTATGCAAGTGGATTGTATCTTATCTAATCTCTTCAGAAATACCTCCTGAAAAATGAAGACTTTGTCCTTAATGGCTTTTTTCTAATCATTAAAATGTTTTTATTCTAATCATAAAAAGCTGTTGATTCTGAGTTTTTTCTGTTCATGTTCTATTTGAATAAAAAAAAAGGTTTATTAAATGACAAATGCCTCTAAGTGGCTAAGTATGATTCTTAATGTTACTCTTGTAACTTAGCCGATGGCCCTCTTTTGTTGGATCAACTCACACATAACCTTTAATTAGCTGGAGTGGTTGGAGAAATAAACACATGAAGCTAAAGGTGACTATGTGACCTCCATCCATTAGCTTTGATTGTTTTTAGCTTTGATTTGCTTTTTTAAAGCTTCACAACACCTGGTGATTTAATTCAAAATTCTTTTTTCCATCTTTTAAACCACAAAATGTGAACTTTAAAAAAAACTAAAGCTGAAGCTAATATAAGGTATGTTATATGTTATAGCATCCTAAAAGCTTTGTGCATATTTTGAAGGGATGATCACAAATATTCCAAAGTTAAGTAAGTGTGCAGGACTTCAAGCTTTTGCAATTTTTATTACACTGAACTGATCTCTGTCTTTTTCATATCTATTTTTCTCTCTCTCTCATTCATTTTTAAGAAAGCGAGCAAGACAAAATTCAACCACTGTAAGGCAAAGAAGTAGATATATATCTAAATTCAGATATACATAAGATACAAAAGAGCTACTTACGTGTTTAAGTGGATGTTTCTAAGAAATAAGTGGGCATCTCTAAGCCATACGTTGGTGTTTCTGGGGGATGAGTGGGCACTTCTAAATGAAATGAGAGCATTTTTAACTGTTAAGTGAGCATTTTAAGCAACAATTAAGTGTTTCTAAGCTTTAAGTGGGCATTACCTGCAACAGTCAACCATCAAAAAATTATAAGAGGGTGATTTTAAGTGTTATATGGTGTTCCTAAGCAACAAGGGGGCATTTCTATGTGTCACATGGGCGTTCCTAGGCAACAAGTGGGCGTTCCAATGCAACAAATGGGCTTTTCTAAGTGTCATATGGGTGTTCCCAAGCAACAAGTGGATGTTTCTACTTGTCATGTAGGCGTTCCTAAGCAACAAGTGGGCGTTTCTAAGTGTTATATGGGCGTTCCTAAGAAACAATGGACGTTTCTTAGAGTCAGGTGGGCGTTTCTAAGCAACAAGTGGGCATACCTAAGTGTCAGGTGGGTGTTCCTAGGCAACAAGTGGGCATTCCTAAGTATTATGTGGATGTAGGCGTTCCTACCTGTCATGTGGGCGTTCCTAAGCAAAAGTGGGCATTTCTAAGAGTTATATGGGCGTTCCTAGGCAACAAGTAGGCGTTCCTATGCAACAAATGGGCTTTTCTAAGTGTCATATGGGCGTTCCCAAGCAACAAGTGGATGTTTCTACTTGTCATATAGGCGTTCCTAAGCAACAAGTGGGCGTTTCTGAGTGTTATGTGGGTGTTCCTAAGTAACAGTGGGCGTTTCTAAGAGTTATATGGGCGTTCCAAAGCAACAAGTGGGCATACCTATGTGTCAGGTGAGCGATCCAAGGCAACAAGTGGGCATTCCTAAGTGTTATGTGGATGTGGGCGTTTCTACATGTCATATTATCGATCCTCAGCAATAAATGAGTCTCTAAGCATGATGTGGGCGTCCATATGTAAGAAGCCGGCGTTCCTAAGCATTAAGGGGCAGTTCTACATGTCAAATGGCCTTATCAAAGCAACAAATAATTACAAAAGCCTAAATAAACATTTCCGGGCGATAGGTGGGCGTCTTGGAGCACAAAGTGGGTATTTCTACACATTAAATTGGCTTCTTAGTCACGAAGTTGAGTTTATAAACATAAATGTCAATTTCTCAGCAACAAGGGGTCGTTTCTAAGCGGCAAGTGGGCGTTTACCCAGTAACATGGGGCACCAAGAAGTGGACGGACGTGAGTTGAAGCAGTGGGCGGTCCTAAGCGGATCAGTGGGCAGTCCCGCGCGCCTCTCAGTGCCTCTGCGCGTGGTGGAGCTCAGACTGATCGCGTGCAGCGCTGAGGGTGCGCGCTGAGGCTCCGCTGCCGCTCCAGACAGCGGCAAGATGAAGCGGCCATGCGAGGAGAGCACGAGCGACAGCGAGATGGAGGAGAACATCGACGTGGGCAGCGAGAGCTTCCACTCAGGGTGAGAGACTCAGCCCAACATCTGGACAACATCACAGCGCAGATCGGACAGCAGAACTCCAGCTGTGCATCAGAATCTTTCTGCAGGCTGTTGCACTGGCTGAAGCACATTTCTCATTTACTTCTATGGAGAATTATTTAGTCTTAGTCTGCTGGTTTACTTGGTTGCTACTTTAAGAAACGGTGTAATAATAATAATAATAATAATAATAATAATAATAATAATAATAATAATGGGTTCCTGTATGGATTTAAGTAATAATCATTTAGGTTGTTTGATGCTGTGTTATAATGATTTGCGAGGCTAATTGATTCGCTATAATGAGTGACTTAATCTGCATTAATCTGCCTCCAGCCAGAGCAATGGGCCGTTTGTAAGATGTGGCTCCCCCACGACCACCTCCCAGCTCATGGCCAGGAAGAAACGCAGAGGGGTAAGAGAGCTAGGATGGACATATTACTGCCCTTTGCCTAGCCTGACTGGTCTGCTTTACTAATAAATCCTCTGTATGGTCGCAGATCATCGAGAAGAGACGGAGGGACAGAATCAACAACAGCCTATCAGAGCTGAGGCGCCTCGTGCCGACAGCCTTTGAGAAGCAGGTGAGCTGCTGTTCTCTAACAGTTTCAAATTAAGAACCTCTAAAATTTCTTTCTTGTCGTTTTAATGATGTTTTGTAGTACTGTAAGGCTTACTGAGCTGGACTGAGACTGAATTGACTTCAGTATGAAATCAGGCTGTCATTAGAGCTGGTGTTATGTTTTGTATTGTAAACAACTACAACAACAACAATAACAACAAGAACAATAAGAACAGCTGAGACAAATCATCATCAGGGTTGAGCAGAGGAGCCTAAAGCCACACTTAAGTGAACGTTTTGCTGCTTCAATGAAATAATGACTCCGAAAACAACCTTAGTTACAAAAGTATGAAGTTCTAAAACTTTACAAGTGATCTAAATTTTAATCACTTGCTATATTTATAGGCTAATTGCTGTTATTTCATTCCATAATATTAATTCAGTTAGAACACCTTCAAATACTGTGGTTTTGAATGTATTCAAATCTTTTTAGACTTACATTTACATGTTTGCCACTGTTAAAATAACATTTTATACATCAATTACAAAATCAAAATACTGTTTAAAAGTTTGTTGTTATATTGGTTATTGCTGATATCTTATTCAATAACTAATACAGAGTAGATTTAGTTTTAAATCTAGATTTATTCAATACTGTTTTTCCAAACCAGGTTTTTTTTGTTTTTTTTTTCAGGAACACAAAGAAGTTATTAAATAATTTTAAAAATATCTTGATAAGTTATCTGCCCTGAGATTTGATCACCACATGTTTGAAAGCAGTGATTCCAAACATTTTGCAATTGTGATTCTGAAATTTTGAATGTTAGTGTATGTAATACAGAGCTGCCTATAGAACTACACTCCAACTGCTCAGAACATCAAGCATCTCTCAGCATAAGAACTGAAGTTTATTAGCCTTGATTCCTCTCTTTTTATATGCTTTTGGCCTAAAATGAATTGCACAACACAGCGAAATTAACCCCTAAAAAGAGAATTAGGAACTCAGGGTGAATGGCTGAAATAAATGGCTAAAATGTAACTGAGTAAAAATACTTTCCTTATAAACATTCTTGAGTAGAAGAAAAAGTATTATCACCTGAAAAAACCCAGAGAAGCATAAATCCAACCAAACTTAAACTCTGCTGTTCAAAAGTTTAGAATCGCTGTTTTGAATAATATAAAACCAGTTTTATTACAGATTCACAGATGTAGTGTTTCTAATTTCATAGATTTAAAACATTTATAGAAAGCTATAAATATTTAGACATTTTCAGAGGTGAACTGAGCTGAGGAGAAAGCTGTACAGCATTAAATATTTATATATTATATAATAAAATTACAAAAATGCTCAAATTCAAAAAACAAAGACCAAATCTCGCTCATCCAATGGCTAGATCAAGAAATTACTATAAATGGATAATTACAGTTTATTATTTAACATTTGCTATTTTTTCACCATGTCACAATCTCTCATTGTTCCCAATGTAACTCTGTGCATCAGTTTTTGCGTCTAGTTTATAACAGTTCAATCTACACAAACTTCCAAACTTGTGAACATGTAACTGAGTAAAGGGAAATAGTTTTAAATCTACATTTTGCTTGTATTTTATTTTTTCTCTAGAGGTCCACTCATAACATTTGTGTGGTTTTATGTAATTCATAATTTATGTATACATGACTCTAAGCAATCAGGGTGTTTCTTGTGTCTTTAAGACTGATATATGTAAACTAGCTCTGTTCGGATTGGCTATTCTGTATTGTGGCTCATTCAAAAGTAGTCCAGGCTGAAACACTGCTTATAACTTCAATATGAATGGGAGGAGCTAAACTGCTGCACACTGATATATGCAAATGAGCTGGTTATTGACATCACAGACACAATGCATTCAAAAGCAGCTTAGCTTCCATGTATGGACTGTAAGCACTGTAGAGTGAATATGTTCACATATTCCCTCAAACTCCTTGATTTTAAACCACGAGGGAAATTTAAACCAGGAGGTTTTCCCTGATATGGCCCTTTAATAGAAAAAGTAAAGGAATGAAAATAGTAATGTTAGTAAAAGACACCAAGAAATAAGTAGACAAATGAACATCATCCTATTCTATTTTCCAGGGATCTGCTAAACTCGAGAAAGCTGAAATCCTGCAGATGACAGTGGATCACCTAAAGATGCTTCAGGCCACAGGAGGGAAAGGTAAAGAGCAAATTAGCTTCTCCTCTCTTTCTCTGTCTCTCTCTCTTTCTCTCTCTGTGTGAAACGTGAGCGAGCAGCCTCTTTCTGACTAGATTAAAGGAGTGGAAGTCAATGCTAATGGCAGGATTGAACTCGTGGGAAAGCGCTGGCAGGACAAAAGGAGCACTTGACCCCAGGCTTGTGTTTGCTTTCATAAATCCGTGGGCGGGGAGGGGGGCTGCATTCACAGGCCGGCCTGCTGGGGGCTTGTTTAGGCTTTCCAGCGAGTGTAAAAATCGGCACACAGGGGAGACAAAACAAACATACAAACAGGCCGGCACAATCAGAGCCTGTTTAGGTCAGAGCCTCGGGCCCAGTGGGAATCCACTGGTCAGCTCGGGGCTAAATACCTCTTCATCACCATCAGCATCAGCTGTTTGCTTCATTACAGCCTCTGATAGAGGAGCTGTATTTATAGGCAGCGAGCAGTCAGGCTTCAACTGCTTTAACCTTCTCTCAGCTGCACCACTGAAAAAGAGCGATGCACTGAATGTTCTCTGGACATCATTTCCACACCAATCAAATATATACATCAGCACAGTGTTGTCGTTTTACAGGTTACTTTTGGTCTAATATATTCTATTCATATAGAAATTGTTTGTAACTCTGTTTGTAACAGAGTAAATTTAACTGTTTTTTCTTTTCAGTTTTTTTTTTGTTTGTTTTAAGGAAAAATGTTGATGTTAATCAAAGTGTTAAGTAAGGGGCGTTTAAAATTTCTCTTTCCCTCCTTTCTCTTTCTCTCTCTCTCTCTATCTCTCTTTCTCCCTTCTTCTTTCTTGCTGTCCCTTTTTCTTTGTCCTTCTCTTTCACTTTCTCTCTTTGTCTTGTTTTCCTTTCCCTTCTCTCTTTTCTCTCATTCTTTCTTTCCCATTTCTCTCTTTCTGTTCCTCTTTATACTTTACTGCTCTCTCTTTTTCTTCTTTCTTTCTCTTATTCCTCTTTCAATTTGACCACTTCTCTCTTTTTGTCTTTTTTCTTCTATCTCTATTTCTCTGTCTCCCTTCCGCTATCTTTCTCTCCCTTTCTCTCTTTCCTTCTCTTTCACTTCTCTCTTTATTTGTATTGCTCTTTTCTTTTCTTTTTTCCCTCTCATTCTTTCGCTCTATTTATCTCATCTCTATTTATATTTTACTCCTCTCTCACTCTTCGTCTTCTTCCTTTTTGTCTCTCTTTCTCTTGTTTCTCTGTTTCTCTTTCCCACCTTTCTCTGTCAGTTTTGTTTCTGTAAATCTTCTTTTTCTCTCTGTCTTTCTCTCTATTTATCTCTCTCTCTATCTATCGCTATTTCTCTTTCTTCTTTCCTCTTCCTTTTGTCTCCCTGTCTCTCTCTCCTTCTCTTTCACTCTCTCTCTTCTTGCTCTTTTCTCTTTCTCTTCCTTTCTCTCTCTCATTTCTTTCTCTTTCTATTTCTTTTCTAATTCTCTTTTAATTTACTCCTCTCTCTTTTTATCTACTTCTCTCTTGTTGTTGCTCTCTTTCTCTTCTCTCTCTTCCCAATCTATTTCTCATTCTTACTTCCCACCTCTCTCTGTCTCTTTTCTCTCTATCTTCTTATTTTTCTCTCTCTCTTCCTCTCTGTCTCATTCTATTTCTCTTTCTCATTCTTTCTCTCCCTTTCTCTCTCTCCTTCTCTTTTACTTTCTCTCCACTTGTCTTGTTCTCTTTTCTATTTTTCTTCCTTTTTCTCTCTTTTCTCTTTCTTCTTTTTTCTCTCATTCTCTCTCTGACTCATTTCTCTCATTCTGTTTTTCTTTATATTTTACTACACTCTCATTTCTTCTTTCTTTCTCTATCTCTATTTCTTTCATCCTTTTTTCCATTTCTTTCAGTTTTACTCCTTTCTTTTTATCTACTTCTCTCCTTTTGTCTCTCTCTTTCTCTTCTCTCTCTTTCCCAGTCTATTTCTCTTTCTCTTCTTTCTCTCTCTCTATTTCATTTTCTCCTTACCTCTTTTCTCTCTCTCTCTCTCCTTCTCTTTCACTTTCTCTCTTTATTTGTCTTGTTCTCTTTTCTCTGTCTTTCTTTTTTCTTTCTCTATCTCTATTTCTTTCTCTTTTGCTTCTCTCTTTCTTTTTATCTACTTATCTCTGTCTCATTTATCTCTCTCTCTCTCTTTGTATTTGTCCTCTCTCTCTCTCTCTCTCTCTCTCTCTCTCTCTCTCTCTCTCTCTCTCTCTCTCTTAATTCAGTTTAGTTCATTTTAGCGGACAAGTGACAAATGATGATACGTTTGTATTGACAAATCCTGGGTTATAAAGTTTGAGAATCTCTCCAGTAAACAAAGATTTTAGGTTATTGAATCTAAAACATACAGTGCTGTACAAGTTTGACTCCATTGGAATAATAAAGATGTATTAGATCTCAGTCCCTGCTCTCTCTCTCTCTCTCTCTCCTCCCAGGCTATTTTGATGTCCACTCTCTGGCCATGGACTTCATAAGCATCGGTTTTCGCGAGTGCCTGACTGAAGTGGCACGGTATTTGAGCTCTGTGGAGGGTCTGGACTCTGCTGACCCGCTCAGAGTCCGTCTCGTCTCTCACCTCAGCAGCTGCGCCTCTCACAGGGAGTCTATCGCTCTGTCCCAGCACCAGCACCCCTCACAGGCCCTGCCGCCGCACCCCTGGGCCTGGAGCTTCCTGCAGCACAGCGGCCTGCCATCGTCTACATCCTCCTCTTCTACATCATCCTCCTCCTCTTCCTCGGACGTCCCGCAGCGCCTTTCCTTCACGCACGCCGACTCCACAGGGCTCAGAGCGCCCCCCGCAGGCTGCATCCCGCCACTGTCCACCTCTCTCCTCTCACTTTCGGCCACACTTTCAGCTGCGGCGACCCACACCTTTCCCCTGTCCTTCCCTGCAGGATTCCCCCTCTTCTCCCCCGCTGTCCCCGTCTCCTCCATGGCTTCCTCGGCCCTCAGCCCCTCAATATCCGCCTCGTCCACATCCCAGCAGAGCAGCTCCACCTCCAGCTCCAGCAGTGCCAGCACTAAACCCTACCGGCCGTGGGGCACCGAAGTGGGAGCCTTCTGAAGCATTGGACTTCTTTAAAAGTTCAAAAGGCTGGACTCTTTTTACTCTTTGTAGACAGGGAGGAGACTGATAACTGTATTTTTGCTACCTTTTGCTACTTTCCGAGTGCCACAAATTGGCCTATTTCAAAGCGTTCGGTGTGGCTGGACATTTTTCATACTTTGCAAACACAGGAGGGACTGTTTTAAAGGAATACTTCAGCATCCTTCAACGCAACACATCTGCCACATTTGTTTCGTACTGTTGATTATCAGGATAGTATTTTCAACGCATTGCCCTCTTCTTAGAAAAAATTAGAAATACGTTAACTTGAAGCACACTTGTAATAAAAGCCACTGGGCAGTTGATGAAGTCTGCAAACAAACGTTTAAAATTTTTGACGACAAAAATATAAAATGAGAATTCAAAACTGTTTCACACTCTAGAAATATAGGTCTCAGGATGAAACTGACACAGGACATCTTACCAGAGCTGCTCAAGCTTTTTCCAGCTTTTCTTTACCCAAACAACACAGCAAAAAAGTATTTCCAGTCACTTTCGCATTTTCATAAAGTTTCCCTAACGTTCCACAAATGCTTCCCTCTGGAAAAACCAGCTGCATCTCTGGGATAATGAATTATGCAGATTTTACAACCTAATTTACAAATACTACAGTTGTGAGCATTCATGAAATTGTTCTACGACTCTGCAAAAATGTTTACTGACAGCATCTGCCCATTAACTTCTATTACAAGTGAAAGCAGAGTCAACAAGTTTTTGGTTTTTTTTTGTTTTTTTTTCAAATACAGAGACACACACAGTGAAATTATTACCTGTGATAACTAAAATAGATGTAGCAGGTCAAGATTAGGTTAGAAAATCCTGAAGTATTCCTTTAATTAACTATCATGGCTGGTGTTCGACCACTGTTATGGTCGCTTCTACTTTCAAAGTGCCACAATCAGTTTTCCAAGTGCCTGCGTGTATATGACATCAAAGGGAATGTGTTGGGAGGAAAAAACAGCATGGATCACATTCATACTCATTGCACCCCAGTGGACATTAGGAAGGAATTGGTATTTTCAATGAAGTGACCCCATAACTGTCAAACTATTGACTTTCTGTTGTCTGTTTTGTCTGTTGCTCTTTGAGAAATACCTAGGTTCTCCTGTTTTGAGTTGACTTTGCTTTGCATCAGAGGACCACACTGTTTGGCAGTGTCCACAGGATTGTGTGACTGATGTAGCATGTATGAGATTTGTGTGCTTAAAGGGAAATTCCACTATTCTTTCAAAATTCAAATTCAAAATTTTGCACATTGAATTGTCAAAATGTATACAAAGTCATTCAGGGTGGTTTGATCTGAAATACTCTGTTGTAGAAAAGCAAGTCAGAATTTTTCACAGTGGTAAAGACATCTGAAGGGTTTAATGCTCCTGAAGATTCTGTCTCATAAAATTATTACACAAAATAGGTAGGAATATGCTGCCTGGTGCCCAAGACATTGCTTTATGATAGTTTTGAGATGAACATTTGGCCTAAAATGCAATCCATTCATGATGTAAGGATACATGCAGGGAGTTATAAGGCAAAATACTTCCCGAAGAAAAGATTTTTTTCAGATTTATCACTACTTTACCATTAATAACATTATATATAAACTCTCAGAAGACACATGTAGGTTCACTGGTGGTTTTGGATAGTAAATAAAATGGCTATATTTGAGTTGTGGACATTGTGACCCTTGGTTCCTATCACCACCACTGTAAAGAAATCTCAGAGTTTCTCCACAATGAACCATTTCACATCAAACCACTCTGGCTTTGTGTACCTTTTATCGATTCAATTATGCAGAAATTTTGAAAAATTGGTGAAATTCTTCTTGAACAGCAGAATCTGTGTAATGTCTGTGTAATTTGTCCCTCACCCACAAATCTGGTCTTTCATTTTGACAAAATCTCAGAGAAACCAAAGGTTTTTACAGATAATCAATGGAATGAGGTGTGAATCAGAGCGCGTGTTATAATCTATGAACTAACCACTCAGTCTGTAAATATGTATAAGAGTGTAACTAGAGTTTATACTGAAGCTAGAGAGCTGTATTATTGGCATGACAATGCACTTCGGTCACTACTGTTTGGAGGGACAGGCTTCTCTCCATATATGAGAAAAGACATCATAATTGCAAATTTGAATTATTTGCTCATGCTGTATTTCAGATTTGCCCATAAATGACACTACTGTATCTTTTTTTCCTTTTTTTTAATCCCAAGCCTGCTCTGTAACATGTAACCATTTTCTATGCAAAAGGAAAAGCAGCAACCAGATGTGTCAGATTAAATTCAATGCTTTTTATTTGAACTTTCATCCCTCGCCCCATCATTTCTCTCACTCACCACAACACTGCAGTCTGGCCAGTCTGGGAAACTGTTATTGGTGCTGGAGATTGAACTTGTTTTTCTGAGTTCCAGAAACTATATGGCGAAGAAAATAATGTGCTCTAATGTGGCTTTTAAATAATACAAAAGAAACCAACCAAAGGGGAACAAACAAACACAATAATGTGATCCACATCCAATGTTACAGAGTTGTAAATCAGTCTTAATGCCTTTCCCACGTCTGCTCCAGTACCACACTGGATCCAGCTCGTTCATTACCACTTGGAGGCCAAAAACCATTAATACGATGCTGGAATGTGCTTGATGGGTTTCATTTAAAGGGGAGCTCCATGGGTTTTTCAAAATGTCCACATAATTCACTGGTTGAAACGTAAAGTCAGTTAGAGTGGTGTGAAATCCTCCGTTCTAGAGAAACTTACTGAGTCAGAATTGTTCACAGTGTTGGTGATAGGAACCAGACGTCTGAAGAGTTTAATGCCTCTAAACGCTCCTTCAAAGTAAGTTTTTAATGAAATGGTTATAAATACGCTGCCTGATGCCTGAGACATCATAGTTTTCAGAAGGTTTTGGTTTCAAACTTACTATTTTAAATGCATTTATGGTGGAGGGGCACATGCAGGGTGTTGTAAGGCAAATAGTGACCAAACAAAACTCAGATTTACCATAATCAACATTACATATAAAAACTCAGAATATATATGTGGGTTCACTGATGTTTTGGGTAGTGAACAAAATTGTGACCCTTGGTTCCTGTAACCTCCACTCTGAATTACTCTGTTTTCATTTCAACCATTGAATTATGCAGACATTTTGAAAAATCGGAAATCCCCTTTTAAATGACTCTAGTTAAAGGGAAAGCAGAGAAAATGTTATGTTTATGTAATTTTCACAACTGTGGCCAAGACATGTTTGGAGTCTGACATTTGCTTCTTTAGTTTTGTGCTGAAGATACAAGGCTAATGCAGCTAACTAGTAATGAAAGCTAAGTACAGCCACTGGTTAGCATTGTGCAAACTGTATGCCTGGATCATCACTCATTTTACTTAAACTGTGTCGAGTTGTTAAGTTTTCTCAACTAGACACTATAAAAATAAACAGAAGTACACTGCATAGCCATCCTGAAGCCTCCATTTTGTCAGTACTTCTGTCCATTTTTTGATAGATGCTAACTGGATGTCATAAGCTTCAGTTACTTAGCTTTATTCAGCTTTGTGGCTCCAGCACAAAACTAAAGAAGCATCAACTTCACTTAGCTTAAAGCTGTTGTTTTCACCAAACCATCACTTTAAAGTTGCACTTTTCCTTCAACTTCTCCTGCTTTGATAACGCTACTCGCGCTACACCTGTTGTCAGTTAACTTCACTGGTGAATAAGAATCAACAAGACGCCATTGAATGTAACAGTGTCAGTCCAAAGAGAGAAAACAGGCCTTCAGAGCAGGACGTATGCAGCCGTTTAGTGAAGCGCCGGCCTCAAAGCCTGAGCATTCAAAGCATGAAAGCGAAGCACCAGCGCTCGCTCCTCTTAAAGACGGGTCTCTATGCCTCCCTAATCCACTCCCTTTATGCTGCAGCCTGTCAGACAGTTTTACATTAGTAAATCACTGTCACACCATTAAATTCCTTCCTTAAATTCCTAAAAGGAAAAGTATCAGCATTTCCAAGTGAATAGGGATTAGGGCAAACACCGGCTGCTGCCCACCGACGTGCATGGGAACGGTGCAGGGCCATAAATCCGCCAGTTATCTGCTTTAGAGCGGCTGGTTCTCAGGCCCCAGCCTTTGAAGTGGCCCTCCATATATCAAAGACGCACATGATCTGCCCATAACGTCTCACAGTCAAAACCCACCAGCGTGAAAACGTCCAGCGGGCCTTGAAGCTTTCTTTAAGCTGAACACATTTAAATGAGCAACAAAAATGTAAAAAAAGAGACCGAATAATCACAACTACTATGATGGTTTATTATTTTACCACTTAAATGTCAAATCAATAGGAAGAGTTTTAGATAAATGAGTGAAGTTTTAATATCATGTGATTTTTAAGTTTCTAATAGTTCAATAATTTTAATAACTTACCTAGACAATAATAAATACTGCCCAAACTAATCATATTTCTAATTATTAAGGGAAAGAGTTGTCATATTCATTCAGTATTTACATATGACCCCTTAGCTCCCAGTCAAAAAGTCTTTAAAGAACATTAAGGAACAGTATATTCTTTTTACAATTTATGGATGCCCAGCGCCGCTAAATACTCTTTACAATAAAAAAGAATGGAAATATTCGCTGAACATGGCCTAATAGTCCAATGCCGCCACCTAGAGGTGAAACACAGCTCATGTAGGGTGTCTGAATTTCAAAAATAGTTCAGCTGATAAGCTGAGTCTTGTATGGACCCTCTACTCCCTGTGTAGTGCATCTGTCATCGACATTTTGAATTCATCGAAGTGGCAAGCCAAGGTGACCCTCAAATAACAAGTCTTTGCAAATATAAATGTATTAACACGTTTTAAATACATATATATATATATATATATATATATATATATATATATATATATATATATATTCGACTCTGTGCCGTGGTTTAGTGATTGTGATGTTAGTTAGCTTTCTAAGTAGGTCCTGCAGGTCCCATGACTTGGCCAAGTTTGTTTGCTAGCTAATTTTAGAATTATCTTATTTAAACAAACATGTCATACTCTCGTTTCGATTCTCAAACCATGGGGCCTGCTGGTGTATTCTTCAGTAAGTTAACTAGCTAGCTACGCTAATCTTCGTCTGCACATTAAACAAGCTAAAGGTTATACTAGAATAATACTTTTTTGATAGTCAAATTAGTGATGAAAGTGCCAGATTCTTGGTTTAGTAAGTTCATCAGTTTATCTCTTTCTCACAGAACCGCGGTAATTCTACGAGGCACTGCACCGAAGACCTTAGCAGCGGTTCGGACTCGCACCTCGACTCGAATATTTATACATACATATTTACATATCGGAGCTGTACATTTCTGGGCAGGTAGTTAGAAAAATTGTTGTAGTACAAATTAAAATATTGAATATTAAAGCACTGAGACGCTGAGCAGTATTTCTGAAGTGGTAATCCTAGTAAGAATCAGTCTGTTACTATAATCGTAGAAAAAAGGAGACATGAATAAAAAAGGTTTGAATTTAATGTACATTTTGCTCACAATGATTTAGATTCACCAGCAGGGGGCGCTGCACCCAAGTAGTTTTGTGCATCACTGTTTTATGTATTTGTCAGTGATTTATATATATATATATATATATATATATATACTATATATATATATATATATATATATATAATATATATATATATGTGTGTGTGTGTGTGTGTGTGTGTGTGTGTGTGTGTAGTCACAAATTTGAAAACAGGCAGCGAAATAGTTTGTCATGTTAAGTAGATACACTGCTTAATAGTATTTAATGTGTGTTTCTAGCTGCACTGTGTGTCTCTTTTGGAAACAAATAATTGCACATTTTGTAAGTTGTTTTTTGTTCGGACCCCAACGAGTGGGTGAATCTGATGACTGCATGAATGTTGAAAGAGTATGGAAAGAGAAACTTGTTGAAGGACCGTCTTCTGAGGATTTGAGTGAATTATCTATTATTGCCTTCATATCTTCATCAGTATAATGTTGATTTTGAGATCATTTGAGACTGAAACATCAAGCCGGACCTTCTTTTTGAGCGTGTGATGTTCATAATAAAGATGTACGACATGGTGTGAAAAACTCGATGCCTCTGACATTTAAATGACTGTTTAAGGCTTTACAGGGCGACTCACAGCAGCACACACTAACCATATTTTAGCCTGTTTTCACTCTACTAACTCAGTAATGATACTTATTTAA